GCATAGGCAAATTGTGGTCTGGTGACCAGTGCCTCCGTGATAGTGGGCAAGAGTTTTGTCCGAAGCACAACCGTGACAGACTTACCCATAGGATGCACGAGACCAATGGGTCGCAGATTGGCAAGTATACTGCTATCCTTTTGAGGCTTCGGCATCCATACCATGTTCGCATCCTTCCAGATGGAGGGTGCACTTCCCTCAGCTCCAGGCCCCCATGCCTCGGAGAGTGGCTTCCAGAAGAGCTTTGAGAGCTCAGCAGCGCTGTTCTTCCAGAGTGCAGACGGAGCGGCAGTGGGAGGTGCAGCCTTGCGGATCGGTAGGCGCTGCAAGGCCTGTTGTAATTGTTCCACGGTGACCTGGACACCTTCGTGCAAAATGCCCTTGGGTTGGTAGTCAGTTCCCTGACAAAACTTCGCCGTGGCGTGCCTGCAAAGCTCTCGAAGTTGTTGTGCTGGTGTTAGAAATTCCCCCGACTTTCCTCGGATGCTGGGCTTAGCAGCCGGCTTCCAGGGCGCGAGTTTGCGAACAGCAACATATATGCCGCCCTGGTCCCCGCATTTCGCAGCCTGCTCTAATTCAAGCATAGTGTCAGTGATCTGCTGTCGCTTGGCCATTCTGACATCAGCTCGCATTTGCTTAGAGGCCTGTCGAAACCGGGTCCAGAGTCGCCATTTGCTGAAGATGTTCTTTCTGTTGCATTTGCCTAGGGCTCTGTATGCTCTATAAAGTTTCCAGAGTGCTTTGGCACTTTTGTTGAACACAGGATGCTGGCTAATGCGTCGGTCCGGTGCAGGTTGGGCTGGATAGATTGCAGCAGCATGTCTTCGCAAGATCTCGTCGGCTAAAAAAGTGAGTTTGCCTAGCCCTGCATGCAACGGGAGCATCCTGATGTCCTCCGCGACTTTCTCACGCAGTTCTTGGGCTCTGGCATCTTGTTTTGCAATGGAGTTCTGCATTTCCATCTTGTTGATCTGTGTGTTGGCCGGTCTGCTCTTGCGAATGAGGTGCCACGGC